TGGACTTTCTGATTAATGTGAAAATGGATTACGCAGCCTACCTGGAGGCCGAGGAACAGCAGAAACCCGAGGAGACGCTGACGTTGACTGAATGCTATAGGAGACCGCGTCGATGCCAGCTTATCACTCTGGTGCTCATACTTACGGCAGCCGGTATGCTGATTGCGAATATCATTCTACTCTCCGGTAAGGGTCAGATTCCTTGCTTTTAGTTAGACTTACTACTAGTAAATGCTCAGAAGCGAAGTTACCCGTAGAAAACTTCATAGACGAGAAGACAGTACTACAGACTGCCCCGTGAATTTTTCACTAAAATTGGAGTCTCTATTCCAAACATCTGCCTTTAACTGATACTGATTGCGCCGATCTGGGGGGGGGGGGGGGGGGGGGCGTTCTGACGCAGATTGAACACCTCTGTCTTCTCCTTGGGTGTATTCTAAATTGACGGAGTCCAACGTTCCACTTTGAAAGAGACTATTAATCAGCAAGCACATTAGAAGGTCCTTTGAGGATTTCAGATTTGACCTCGGTTTTATCTGCTCAGCAAAGTTTGTTTGCGCTACCCGCAGTTTACATATTCCATAATTTATAGAGCCGCAGTAAGGCAAAGTTCGGTCGGTCATTCCTACCATCAAGGGGAGAAGGGCAATATCTTATAAAACATGTATCTGTCTTTGGGACCTGAAAGACAAATCTTGTGCGATATGATATTCAGCGGCCCATTATCTTCAGTTAAACATGCCATAGATTAAGACATATATCGTCCTGTACCTTTCACATACCAGCTAATTTGGCATAATTCCCAAAAGTTGGTTCCCGTTTAAGGCACGTTCCTGACAGCAAGATGCTCTCCTCATAGCTGGCAATCTGTCGAGCTTAAAGTTCGATAGTCAAGAAATAGGGAAGGTGAAGGCTTATTAGTACAGAGCGAAAATAACTGAAAACGATAAATGCCATAGGGCAAGCTTAGCCGTAGCCGACAATCGCAACTGACTCTTGGCGACGAACTCTCACATATGGGAACCCCAAAGCGGATTCATTTTCGGTCCCGAGGGGCATCCCTCCGCCACCTCTTTTTGCCACCCAATTCACTTCATGGAGATCATAATATAAAAAACCTAACTCATCAGTCTCCCTTTATTCATATCAAACATACTCAGTAGGAATAAAAGTAATTGCAAAAAATAGTAATGACCTAGACAGGGATCTTATACGTACCACCTCAGTGATTCCAAAATAACCAATCGGCACATTCAGTATGCACCTTAGCTGTACTGGAATGTGTATGCATACACCGAAATCTATACATAGACTAAATACTAAGGGAATTTGCATGATGTGTGAGCAAGCAAACCTTTTTCGTCTGGCCCTGACTTCTCATTGGGCTTCTTCTCAATCACCCTAGTTGACCTGTACTTACTTGCACTTGATACGGCTGCGATCATGCCTGACCTAGCCGGCCTCGATGATGTCCCGAACTGTATCTCTCCACGCGTGACGATCCGCGGCAGTAGATCTGGACAGCTCAACCCATTCTCTCCGCCAACGACGGGGACCGAATACCGAAGGTCCAAAAACCACCTCTATGTCTTGACGAACTGTGTCGAGCCAGATTTTGAACAGACCCCCTCTTCGACGCCTCCAATGGGGCAACGGTGCCGGATCGAGGGCAGTAACACTGAACTCCTGAGGTGGACGACGAAGAACATGCCCGAACCACCTCAGTCGTCTTTCTTGGATGGCCTGAGTTATCCTTGAGATGTCGTCGCAGCGAGCGCGGACTGTCTCATTTGAGACGAAGTCGGCGAACTTCACTCGAAGGATGGTCCTCAAGCAGTGGTGGTCAAATCCCTCCAGTTTTTGCTCGTCCTCCACGCGCAAAGCCCAGCATTCACAATCTTAGAGAAGGACAGACCGGACAGGTGCACGGTACACGCGAATCTTAATGGCGATGGAGAGGTCACGTCGGTTCCACAGGCATTTCCGAAGGTTTGAGAAAAACCCGCGGGCAGCATAGATTCGGGAGACGATATCGTCCTTACTCTGTCCATTAGGCAGCAGCCTCGTCCCGAGTTATTTAAAACTGTCTACTTCTTCAAGTTGACAGCCATCAATCCCGAGGGATGCCTTCTCCTGGTCAGGGTTGCAGCTTGATAATACTTTGGTCTTCCCAGCGTTTATGGACAAACCGACCGATTTAGCGACTTCGTTCACCCGTGACACCATAGACTGCAGATCACCAAAACTTGAAGCAACTAAGGCGAAATCATCAGCATAGTCGAGATCAGTCAGTCGATGTCCGGGTGCAAATTCTATGCCGTCACTCTCACGTAGGGCCCTCCCGAGGATCCAGTCAATAGAGTAGTTGAACAGTATGGGTGACAGGATACAACCCTGTCGGACGCCAGACCGAATACCGAACGGTTGGGAAAGATTGTTGTGGACCAGAACTCTCGCAGTAGCGAAGCGATAGTTGGCCTTGATCATGACGATAATTTTTGCCGGTACACCATCTAGCGCCATTATCCGCCACAGAGACTCACGGTGAACGGAATCGAACGTGGCGGCAAAGTCAATGGAGCAGACGGCCGTCGGTTGTTGGTAGCTATGGCGAAATTCGAGACTGCGTCTCAGTGTGAATATGTGGCCTGCGCATCCACGTCCAGCACGAAATCCGGCTTGGTTGGGCCTCGTCCTTGAGTCGCGCACAGACTGGAATCGCCTGAGTAGGACCATAGCGAAGATCTTCGCAGCAACGTTGATGAGACTCATGCCGCGGTAGTTCTCGCATCTTGTCTTATCTCCCTTCTTGACCTGTTCCACAGAAGTAGTCGTTTAAGTGAAATATATATTTGATGGACGCACTTCCACCGCAGTTAATGGTGCCGATCGTGACCGACAGCACAGCAAACCCGTGGTTCAATAAGAGAACGATGGATTTAGTAACTCTCAATGACCAAAGAACGTGGTTTCGAGTCCCCGATCCTGAAAACTCGAGCTTGGATAAGACTGGCTTACGATGACAACTAGTAAGCCAGAAATGGCCACTCCAGTCTCCCTTGTCTTTGTCCGTACCCCTTCTAATAAATACCTACAGTGGCTGGCCCATTTCAGAGAATATTAACCGAAATTCTGAGATGTATATTCAACTAGATTACACAGATGAGGTTGTAATGCTGGTTAGCATGCAGCATAATCTAACGATGTTGGCTTCTGAATGAACTTTTTCCGGTCACCTGCAAAAACTATATTCGATAAAAATGGCTACGTATGCGACATGCGTTTCCTCACTGATTTTCGCCGCTCTTATAAAGTCAGCCATATTTTGTAGAAAAAAGGCACAAAAATATTCTTCCTACATCTGTAAGTAATAAAACGGTCTATGGCGAGTAGAATTAGGAAGTAGCCGAGGGGATGCAGCGTGACGATAACTTGATATTGACAGTTGTGTCAAAGTTTTACTGTTACGGATCGTATTATTGGCGTATTAAAACAAAACGTTTTTTCATGTCACTACACACCCCCGTGTAGCAAATTACGTCTTTTTAGTTTATCATTAAAGAAAAAGAACCATTAGGTTGTTAGAAATTTTTTTGGTTACGATAGGATATAAGTTTCCACTGAGAAGACGGAATTAAGGACTCACATAATACAAGAATGGTTTCAATAGAGGTTGTATAAAATAAGGTAAATGAAAGTGACAGATAGCCGTTTTCGGGGAGAAAAATAAAAAACTCACATTTAAGCCAATGGTCTGTTTAAATACGTAAAGAGAGCGCAAAAACGCGGGCGCCCAATTTTAAATACCGAAAATTAGGAGAAAAAGTGAAACCGAGGGCACTGGTTAAATATTTCGGACAAACTGATCTCAGCCCAAGTACATTGAAGAAGACAGTGTGGAGAATCTGTCATTAAATTCGATGCTCGCGGTGGCCGCAAATGAAAATATAGTTGAACTTGACAACGTTGATAGCCTAACACGCAACCTACGAAGTTAGCCCTAGCTCCTTAGCATAGTCATCCTCCTAGTTCTTACATATAGTCCTAACTCGAACTTCCAACCCTGACATTTGACTCTAAGGCCAACCTTAATCTCTAATCACAACCCTAACGTATATCTTCCTAATCCTAAGCAGAACGGTAATCACTGTGGTAACGCTTGTGGAAACGGGACTCGGATCGAACAAATGATGTAGGTAGGTATTTTAACGGAGAACAGACTAAGTGGAGCCACATACCCGATTATCAACACATTTTCAGCCCCCTACTAATCATGAACCCCATCTGGAGTTGCAGCTTTGCTTGAGATTTCTAAATTACTTCCCGTGTGCATTCGACTCAAGGAATGGTCATTTTCGGCTTGTCAGTCCTCATCAACCAGCCATACCCAACCCCAGGGGTATGCGACCCCCGAGGCTCGATCTCGCGACTTGTTGTTTAGAAGTCCAATGCCCCTAACCACTGAGCCACGATTCCGTTGTCCTACCGGCTGCAATAGGGTATATCAGCAATGGCAGAGGGGGACGCTCATTTATCGCGTTACGTGAGTCACTCGTCCAGTTGGGCCTTGGGGTTAACTCTCGAGCCCCGTCAACAGCCGTGCAGCGGCGCATAATATAGACAGGATTGAACTACCTTCATAGACAAGGTAACTGACATTCACTGGAATGCACAGCATTAGCGTATATGTGCAGAACAGCACTGCCGACAAAGGCATGGAAGACTGGGACGGCCAATTCCGGCTTGTTAGCCGCCATCAGCCAGCCATTTCTAAGCCCCAGGGTATATTTATCCAAAATAAAAGACCTTCGCAAAACTTGAATGGGTTTGAAAATTTTTAAATTCACTACACCAACCTCCGTCTCACGAAATGAGTAGTGAGAGGGGGGATTATCGCACTGGGGCGCTTGGAGGCATAGAGTCCACATAAACGAGCAGGTGCCCATGAAAGTGAGTGAATACTTCGCTGGGGTAGATTCTAGAGGTGAGCGGGATGTAGGTCCTGGTTGTGGTTCTCCATATCGGACAGATGATGGCGAATGAGTGCGATCCTACATAGTCGAATATGGATTATTTGCTGCTGATACATGATGAACGCAGTGGGTCGGTGAGCAGTGTGTGCAGGCTCTTCGTAAGGAGAGTCCGTGCCGAAATGGCGGTTAACGCAGCTTACGTTAGAATATCAAGTCTCAAGGAATTCTTTCCTTGTTTTATAGTGGCCGTGGCAATCACTTCAGTTTTGTCTCAGTTAAGGCAGTGGGCGCTTTCAGGTGGATATGCGGTTCATCGTTTTGCTGACCACCGATCCCAGACGTCATAGGGTCGAAAATTACTATCCTGTCGTCAGACGTAATGCATATGGGACGTATAATTCTTATAATAGATATTTATGGGGCGGAGGTGTTAGGGACAGCAATGCGCCCATTCTACTATGATGTAGATCAGTAGGAGCGGGGATGCGCTGTTAGGGTGCGCTTTGCTTGGTTGCAGGAACGATGGCGGTTGGGAGAGCTGACTGCGAGCTCGACCTTCACCAACGACGTTACCCCAGAGGTCTACCAATTGGAGGTATATTAACAAGAGTGAAATTCACTGGGTTCTGGGTAGGGGATAATGCTGCGACAGTAATATGCTATCGGAAGTGTTTCTTAGTATGCTTGAAGACTGAAACGACGGTTCATGCTGCCTTAAGCAACTTTGACAGATGTCTGTTAATCTCCATGTGAAAAGCTTCATTGGTTTCGCAGTCGAAATGATCGTCTCCCTCAGCTGCCTGCGTAACAATGAGGGACATGGGTTACGTCAGCCGATAGTGACATTGTGTTCGGTAAAGTGAGCTCCAAGATACCGGTTCACGTGGTCAATACGCAAGCGCAATTAGCAGGTGAAATGCAGTAACTAAGGCTAATCTATTGTTTTCTAGGAATAACGTCATAAGCTTATAATAAGGCTGTGGTATAAGGAGAGCGATTTAGGGACAATGTGAATGCTAAAAGGACTCCGGTGTCCAGCTGTGATCACGGGAGTATATTGGGTGTAAACCAAAATAGAGACTTTCGGCGTTGTTATTTTACCAGTTTAGTCCGGGAACCGTTACCCGTCTGGGCTTCTTGCAAAAATCGTGCGATAGCGGATGGATCGGAATAAACAACATGAATGGCCTGCATGCCCCCTCAGCAGCTCATTCTAACCGCATTGCCGAAAAACGTCGTAGAAGATGTTGGCGCAACCTTGGTGTGCCTGCGAGCTAATTGTTTTTACATTTGGGGATGATCACGGGATTCCCTTTTTTCCCACTAACAATTGTTGTGCTATTTTCTTCACCCCATTTCCGCGCGAAACCGCCTGAAATGTTGAAGTTGTTCGACTTTTGTGGTTTTTAGCATAACAAAGGTGTTTTCAGCAAGCAACCACTTTTTGCTTAAATAGCTAACCGTAATTCATCATAAGATCCTGATTTCAGTGAACCCAATGGAATTTTAACCTCCTGGTAGTCGAAACTGTCGAACCGACGGTAGTCTGCACGAATGAGTTTGACTTTTTCCAGAAAATCGTCCGTTCGCATGTCGGTAACTAGAACATGGGCAACATCGTCCAATAAAGGAATGCAGTCCACATGTTAAGACCTAATATATTCATGTCAAGTGGGCGTTTGACCCTCCCTGTTGTGGTTAGGATCTCACTCCATCCCATTCTGTCCGCCCACCAGCTTGCTACTGGCGACAACGAACGCTGTGCCATAGGACACATCCCACATCTAATACATGAGCAGCTCGCTAAGAATGCAGCAGCCCAGACGCAGACAGCTGTTTCACGGTCGTTACCGATCATCAGTACGTCATAGGCCTTATGAGATGAGATATATAAGCATGTCAAGTAGGCGTTTGACCCTCGCTGTTGTGGTTAGGATCTCACTCGATCCCATTCTGTTCGCCTGCCAGCTTAATATTTTGAGGCTCTACTGGGACTCTGTCAATGAAGTGTTTTATGCGCCTGGAATTTCAGTGGGCCATTCACTTATTGGCACTATAGCGCTAACTTATCCCCTCCGCCATCCTATTCACTGTCATTGTTATCCCCTCTGTTTCTCAGCAAGAGCGCTGCCTCTTATGATTCTTTTACATGACGACGGCTTATCACTGCAACACAGAAACTCCGTGAGTACAACTTAATTTTTGAAAGACTCATATCTTCATTTATCATCGACTTAAAAGGCGCGTCTTCTAGTCTCGTAGAGGAGGTGATCAAAGATGTGGGACTTCCGAGTCGAAAGATATCGCACCATTGAATATTAACTAACACAGCTTGAAAGGCTGCACACTGACTGCATAACTCAGTCCTCTTGGTGCACACTATGTGCGTATGAGCCCGTCCGGCACAAGTCACCGGTGCTGCACCCACTCTCCCTGGGGCATATGTTGGGCATCATCGTTTGGGACGGCCAAACTGGCCTATGTGCATCTTCCGTTTGAAAGTCCACTTACGGAATCGACCAAAGTTTTGTAGGTTTCGGCGCATGCTTTACCTCGAACAGTTTTGATCAGCGGTGGTGCAGCAATGGTGAAATGGCAGGCAGCCCAATAAGCAGCCCTTTTCACTTTTTCTTTGGTGCGCAGTTCAGTGCAACATTGCTTTCGTGGAGGTACCCTGGCACAAACAGATGATGTCATGGATGGACGGAGTCATGAAAACCTACTTCAAGGAGCGGGTGAAGTATCTCCGTGGTTCTCGAAAGATGCCAAAGCAAGCAGACGACATACTGAAATTTGATGCTATGCAGCAGTCGATCGGCTGCTGTGGGATTTTCAATTACACTGACTGGAGTTTCATCAAGCAACCGCCAACTTTCCCGCCTGAAGAATTGGAGTAAGTGCTTCTTGCCAGGTACCCTACAAATAATTTGGGGAGTCAGCTTTTGTCCGGAGTGTCAGATTTACTGTGATCGCTCTGATTCCGCCGGGAGGGAGGCTCACGCAAGAATGGCAACATGCAAATTTAAAAATGCTGAATGTGGACTGAATCATAGGCGATGTGTGTCAGGTAGAAGTATCGACCAATGCAGAACACTCTCTCATTTATCTGTTGTCCACGTAGTTAACGGGCACTGTACTACAGGGGGTTTGGGTCCGTAAATTTGGGACACTATTCACTTAACAATGTGAACCAACGGAGTTGCAAATCTTCACAGGTAGGCTTAATCCTTAGTGCGCTAGACATGTGGCATTTATCATCCTCCGTGAGGTTCCTCGAACGTTGTGCTTCCTGACTAGACGAGTGAGCCCATATGGCAATTTCGAACTCCATACATCTTACGGTCGGAGATGTCTCTTATTTATTCAAAATCCGACCCTTGTTTTCGTGGCTATGCCAGAGCGTTGCGTCACAACAAAACATGATATTCAAGATGTACGGGCGGTGGAGACTGAGGGCCGGAATGGCCATTTAAATATTTTGACCATTGTTTGCCAGTCAGTCCGCATTCTGAGGCTGGAAGCACCTATGAGAGTGGAGTTGACCTTATGATTGAGTTGAACGTCTTGCCAGTTGGTCCAGGATCTGGGAATCTGTTGATTACAACAGAAAATATTCAAAATCGAGCGGAATTGGCGTTCACCAGAGTGCGAGTGCTTTAGATCGGAAATCCAAGGTAAAAGGAATGTCCTACCACGAGGAGATATGGCTCTGTGCCATTCCCACGGAATTTGGCTTTGCAAAACTTCAAGATTTGAATATGCATCTCTTGACAAAAATGGCACCTTTTTTTCACGGGGATAAATAGGACTCGAGTGATTCTACCAAATAAGTTGGCTCGGGGCATCAGTTGTTGGGTTGATGCGGAGCTTTTAGAAGTATACAGGTAGTCCACATTGGTTGAGTGGAACCAATTCTTATATTCACAAAAATTATATCTCGAACAAAAATGATACAACGCAACCACTCAGTGTCTAGAAGTCCCTACCCGTCTGATTGGTTTGTCACTTTCTCATCTCAAAAACACGGAGTAGCGTTCGAACCAATTGAGATTCAGTGTGCATTGGATGTAGTGAAGCCCAGTGCGAAACCTAGTAAGAAAACGATTATCCCTGTCAGCCTTCATTGCACCGAACTACTTCTGTCTGTGAATGCCGACCAGGGTCGCATGATCTCTCGTCCACTAGACTAGACGTGGATGGGTGATGAGGAGCAGTACTTGAATTTGAAATGCGGACGGAGTCATACAAGAATGTTGACAGTTGCCTTAAGACTTCTTTCACGGGGGGAGGAAGTTTTTGACTACAGACAAGCGTACGCAAGTCCTTGAATCGAACGTATCTGAAATTGCAATCATTCAGCTGAACAAACAAGGCATGCGATGTTCTGATGAGTAATCCGCAACCACACTAACGTATGTCTTCATCAACTTTCTTAGGTACCCCGTGTGTTGCTACGTGTCTACCCTGGTCGTCATCACCTCTCAGATCGGCATGTTATAACAATTGAATACCATTTTAACTTCGAGATGGGGGAACATTTGTGTTAGGACAGTAGCTGCGGAGAAAGGAATTTCATATTTGTCTTGGCGCTCCACAAGACGAAACAGTTATCTTTTGTTGGCCTTCAGACTTTTTCAGGGCTCGCCGATAGACACAAGCGAGAATCAAAGTGTCCCATTCGCCTGTTGCATGTGGCACAGCGAAGTGGCCAACAAAACCGAGCCAGCTGCCTGCAACCACTACCTCGCCACGTCCACCGACATACACCTGGTGGGCTGTTTCGATTTCATCTTCTACCTCACAGTGTACGTCTGGCTCGGTCTGCACCTTCTGCTCCTCGCCCCACCTACACTGCTGTTAGTAAGTGGGACATCGCTCCTCCCTCCTCCCCCAAGCTTCTATGCCCTGTAAACTCCCCTCAAATTAAGCTGTTTATGGTGAGTAGGTTTTACTGCCTCCTCTGTTCAATGGATTCGTATACTAACGTCAGCAACTGGTGGCAGCTACAACAACAGCAGCGCCAGCAGCAGCCTCAGTTTACCAAAAGGCATACAGTGCTAGTGTTGCTTCCGGAAACTTTCATGCAGCTGTTAATACTCAGAAAGGCAGTCACTCAGAATGCGTTTATTAAAGATGCTAGGATGGAGCCGTTAGGCGTGAAGTGCAAGATATTATTACTGTTGATGACTGACGCAATTAAAAAGTTGAAAGAGCACCATTTCACCAAACGGTTTTAAAACGAAACCTAGCGGCTGAAAGACAACCGTCATCTAATACAAATACTAAGAATAGTTTTATTAAACACCGGCGTGTGTATTGTCAGTGCAAATAAACGAATATTGGGGGCGTTCCACAAAACGTACGCTTTCTATGTCTCCGATTTGAAATATCAGACACGTAAAAGCGTGGTCGTATGGAATTCTACCAAACTATTTTGGGACAAAAACATCAATTATAAAAACAAGTTTGAAATATGAAGATCACATATAGAAAAGGGAACCTTTGTGAAGGAATCGAAGCGCCGAACTCCGTTTCGCACCAAGTAGTCCACATCCTAATCGACAGCTGGCAGGGCCTGTCAAATGTCAGTATTACGGCTGTTCTGTTGTAATTGTATAGGCAAACCGTTTCCTAATTTCTTAGACGATACGGACTAACAGAATGGATAGGTGACGGCAGGAATGGGCTTTTTCAAACAACCCTCTAAACATAAGCATAATTTACTAAATGCCAACTTCATGGATATTTTGTCAGATTTTGATAAATCATATTGACCCAACTGTGAAAAACTCGGCGCCTCGGTGGGATTCGAACCCACGCAGTAAGGGGAAAGCTGTAGTACAGCCAACGATTCTAACCACTTGAGCTACGAGGTCCCGCCGGACGTAGGTTCGAATCCCACCGAGGCGCCGAGTTTTTCACAGTTGCGTCAATATGAATAAATGACAATTGTTAAAGATATAACAAAACCTGAACCGGAAGCTTCTGAGAATGATTGAAAGGAAGGCTATTAAATTTTGTTAGTCAACCTTTGCTTTGAGTCAGTATGAATTCTACTGCCGAAAGCAGAATTTGTCTTCAATATGATAATTATATCTGAACTTATTGGGGGAAATACAAATAAAATCTTGCCTGCAGCACCCTTAAGATCCATCCCCAAGTTTAATTTAAATTTATGAGTAGAAGGCGTTTCCCTTGGGTGACTCGCAGATGTCGTAATCAATCGTTCGAAAGTGGGTTGGGGAGTACTCCAATTGGAATTCGGATAAAAGCCCGCTTTTGACTACCTTTTGTGTGATAGACAGAATGAAGCTGATTTTGTCAAAATCACCACTCAGAAGTACAAAAGTCATTTCGGAGCGGTCCGCACTCGCATACATAAACTTTGTCGATTTTCGGCGGCCGCTCGAAACAATGCGAGGGGTTAAACCCGCCAGCCGGTTATCCAAGCGTACTTCCAAGATTCCTGGCCTCCCATTGGTTTTCAGATTTATCTGCGAACTCACATTTGCCATTACTGCATAACCATGGTGTGTTTCACGGTCGAATCCCCGTAGAGTGAGAAATTACAGTTTTAACTTTCAATAGCAGGTGGTTTTTCGCAAATATCAGAAGAGATTGTGGTGACCTACGACGTTAAAACTTATTATTCCCTTCGTAAATAAATGGTGCTATTAATGTCAACTCCACTGCCATCGCATTTTCGAACAGATTCCCCAGCTGAGCCTGTACATGGCAGCATTTCAACCCGCGAATTTTGTTAGACAAATGAAAGGCCTTGTGAAAACTGTCAAGGAGAAAAAGGAGGATGTGCAGGATCTGGCTGAAGATGTCAAAGAACGAGTGGTTAGTTTTGTCACATATTTGCATATCTTACTATTCTTGACAAAGTAAAAGTTACCTCTTTGTGAAGGGGTTCTCATAAGGATTACGAGTTCATATTTTGATGGCCTGGATGGCTCTTTGGCTAGCCCAAATATGAAGTTGCCTATTCAGTCCATTAGGTAGACTTCAAAATTTGCCTTCGATAGAGAATAGTGGACTGACCAAGAAGCCATCTAAGATGTGTCTAAATGAACCCGAGGAATTTTGACTAGCAGTGGATCACTAACCTAAAGTAATACTGACGGATACTACAAAAGGTCCTAAAGAGGAAAAAGACTTAAGCAGGTTTGCAGTACTGACCAGAGGGGAAAATAGCTTCTTAACTACGCCAACAAAATAGTAAAAGTGCGCAATAAGGGTTACAGCAATCGTGCCTTCGCACTGATCCATAAACGGTGACCCGTCAACCTAACACAGATTATCCTATTCAAGGGGAGAACGCCACTTTAAATATGTTCCCCAGGTATAGCAGGTGTCAAAGTTCCTAAACCATCGATTAAAAACCCCAAATGAATCCTGGAAGCAAATATCCTGCCAGAACTGTGTGAACTACCCCTCAGGACTCGACGTGAACTCCAACATAGCTGACATTATGCCTTGCTAGAGATTTAGGAGGAAATGATCCCGACTACCCAAGCCGGTCTTCTTGAACAAATTCCACCTTCGGTCGATTGTATTCCCCAATCGATTTGAATGCCTTATGAAAAGGCAATTGGCCTGCCTCGAAAGGGTCAACAAGTAATCCATTTCCTATGCCTTTTGGAAAAAATCCTAAAGTGCATTCTGAACAAAACAATTCCGTCTACCGACAGGAATTAAGAAGACTGAGGACGACCATTTTCGGCCAGATTGCCGCCATCTTTCAGTCCAACCACCGCGCTAGACTGGAAAGATATGAAATTGAGGCATGGTCATAAATAGCCTATGATAACACTAGCGTCCGTTTCAATTAGCACAGTAACTATAACTAGAAGAACCGCAGAAGGACTCTTATTTCTTAATCTCAAATGTGTTTCGACAGTAACCGGAAATATTAGTTACTCAAATATGCTCATGTCACTAGACAGAGACGCAGCTTTTATCAGACTTCATTCAGAGAAAGAGGGTTAAGTATCTTCTGCCTGAAAGGACCGGCCAGGCAGGACGTTATAAAATGTGAATTAGAAGGATGGCGAACACCATCTTAGAGAGGCAATTTGACTGTCTTGCCTTCTTGCAGGGCATTCTGGGCAGCCTTATCCAACAGAAGGGAAATAAAAGCATGTTAACGAACTTGAAATGATTCGTACTCTTACGCTTCCGATATGAGCTCTCTTCCGCAGATCCCATGTTCAACAGTACTAATTATTTTCGAATTCGATAAGGTTGTCGTGATTTTTAAGACGTTTTTGCTTGTCTTGGGAAGTCCCGCATATCCCACAGGTTCCGAAGGAAATCGAGGACTTCGCGAATGACGCGGAGGGACACATTTCCAAGCCTGGCCAAATGGGACCAGGGAGGGAACAACGTTTCCAATGCTGTTAATAACTCTGTAAAGAACGACAAGGATCCGGGACCACTCGAGTCCCAATGCATTTCGCCTGAGGGGAATGTGCATGTGTGCGAGGTAGAAGCGGAAGACAAGTTGAACTTGCATGAAGACGATCGCGTCTTCCAAAGCGCAGAATGCAGAGCAGACGCTCTTTCGTGTTTCTCGAATGAAGGCGAAGGTGGACCCTCGAGTTCACGGCTAACACACCAGAAATCGAGCATACCCAGGAGCAGGGAGCTTCGATCAACAGGAGTGACAAATGACTTTGACGAAAAGAAACACCTGCCGCGAAAACTTCCGGAGGTAATGACGTCCCGATATCGGAAGCATCAGAGGCTGACCCAACTCTCTTAACGACCACTAGAGCATCAATCTCCGAGTTCCTGGATGTTCCCTCAAAATTCAATTCTCATATTGACATTGCAGAATGACAGAATTGACTCAAGAACCCAAAATTTGCCATTCTAAGTCTTGTCTTATGTTTCAACACATCTATTCAAGGATAAAATAGGCGACCAGAGTCTTAAGATCAAGTTTTTTGCAAATTCGGAGTTAAGTATGGTCAAAATTTCAATCATTCTGACCTGTAAACCACTAACATGTACACTCGCCGACGAGGTGTGTGGAGGATCCAAACAGTAAACTAGGTGACCAACCGGATTCTAGCGACGGTATAGTATCTCCAGCAAACGGACTCGTGGGACGCATTCAATGCATGCTAAAGACGCCCTTGACGACTCAGTACAGCCGCCTGCAACGATCCGATAGCCTTTCCACAATGATGTCGCTTCTCTCCCTACTCTTTAGGCCGACATTATTTGAACTGCAGCCGATCTTGTCTGCAGAACATTCAAACGGCTGCCGACTGACCTTGTCCCTCCTACAGATGCCCCAAAATCTTTCGATCCAAGCAAATATGGGGACCGACTCCGCAATGTCACGCGCGATCTCTGCGCAACACACTCCCCGGGCGTCACTAGCCATTTCCTGTGTACCCCCACCACCTGTACACATGCGAGTTCATGTTGGTCCGCCATTGTGCTGTCCGCCAGCCATTCCAACCCCTACACCTAAGCCGCTACAAGTTGACGCTGACATGATCCCAATGAAAACAGGCTTGATAAAGCTTAGTTATCAAAAAAATTTCCACGCGACATCTACTGACTTTTTTTCTGCATCTGTTATTTTATCGACGGATAGGAAAACAGTTACGGGTACCTCGTCCCGAAATGTAAGGGCAGTCCTTCAGCCGTGCCAACGCCGGAGCTCCCCCTCCATTTCAGGCATGCTCTTGTCAGTCTATCACTGGCACCCTCCCTTGCGATCCCCTTCTAGGTCTGCAACCCACTTCTGTACCTATCTCGATAAAACTTCCAGTGTTCAACACAATCTGTAGGTTAGCCCACCTCGGAGTCCTGACGACAAACTCTTAAGTGGCGCAGTTGGTCGGCCCTGTACTCACTGGGCTACGCTGTATGGGACGTTTCTTTGCTCC